TTATGTAAATATTTTAAACCCATTAAAAAAAATTTAGAATATGGAGCGGTTATTTATAATTTAGTATCTACACAACAATATTTCCGTATCAGTACGTTCAGCATACGGGTCATAATACTAGTACGATACTAGTTTTTTTTCTTTTATTTTAAAGTTTTGAAGTTCCATTCTTCCATGACGAAGATGAGGGTTTGGACCCGACTGATCAGAACACTTGTCGGCTGCTGAATGATTCGGGCATCAAAAGACAAAGCACGTGTGACCGGCAGACCGGAAACATTAGCCGGTTGCCGGCTCTCGTGGCATCTCTTTGATGTAACAGCTGTAATAAGGCATAGTTTTACGACTAAATTTTTATGTAAAGCTTTTGTTGGTTAAAGAAATGAAAACAAACTAGCCGACTCTATTTAAAATTCAGCCCACTAATTAGAAAAATCGATAGAAATAATAAGGGATCGATATTATGGACAATATAACTTTATTTGATTGATATTTGATAGCCCTATTAAAGAAATTTGGAGTGTTGTTTAAAAAAACATTTTCTAAATGTTTCATTTTAATAGCTTTAGGGTTTCAAACTCAAAGAAGCGATTCGGCCGTTTATTTTCGGGAAGACAAAAATATGACATTTGAGTGTCATCTAGTAAATGTCAATCGACGCTTGGATGTAACATGGGTAAACGTCTGGTGTATGCGTGCTAGGTCTGGTGTACCTGTATGTCTGACATCTTGTCTGACATGTACCTGTTTGTCTGACATGCACCTGTATGTCTGACATCTTGTCTGACATGTACCTGTATGTCTGACATCTTGTCTGACATGTACCTGTATGTCTGACATCTTGTCTGACATGTACCTGTATGTCTGACATCTTGTCTGACATGTACCTGTATGTCTGACATCTTGTCTGACATATACTTGTATGTCTGACATGTACCTGTATGTCTGACATGTACCTGTATGTCTGACATCGTGTCTGACATACCTGTATGTAGGACACCGTGTCTGATATATTTTCTGACATAGGATCTGACAAGTATCCCTGTATGATTTTGTCAAGTGATTTTGTCAATAGGTGCCACCATCGTGTCAATTAATCTTTAGTCAGCTACATACGTGACGACAGTACCAAATACCCAGCACACAGTACCAAATACCCAGCACACAGTACCAAATACCCAGCACACAGTACCAAATACCCAGCACACAGTACCAAATACCCAGTACTTCGGTGCCAGAGCAAAATGTACCTCATGCCATTACTAAGGCAGAATACTTCAGGTAGAACTAACCTTTTTTATTCTGAGTACCAGTATTGAAAATCTGAGTCGCAGTACTTAATACCTTAGTAACAGTACTAGGGATCTTTGTACCATTTCAATACATAAGAGGCAGTGGTAAAGATAAAACAGACAGGCGTAATGATCTTTGTATCAAACCATAAGACACAAGATTCTGTATTGCAGATCCTAGAGGCAATACAAAAGATCCAAATAATAGGCCTAATGATCTTTGCATCAAACCCTAAGACACAAGATCTTGTATTGCAGATCCTAGAGGCAAAACAAAAGATCCAAATGATAGGCCTAATGATCTTTGCATCAAACCCTAAGACACAAGATCCTGTATTGCAGATCCTAGAGGCAATACAAAAGATCCAAATGATAGGCCTAATGATCTTTGAATCAAAACTTAAGACACAAGATCCTGTATTGAAGATCCTAGAGGCAATACAAAAGATCTAAAACCCAAGTCTCATGACCTTTACATCAATGCTAATGCCACAAGATCCTGTACAAAGATCCTAGTGTCAAACCAAAGATCCAAATACAAAGAGCCTCTTATACAACCAGTATTCTCCACCGGAGAATTAACTTAACACCTGTAATACGATACTTATTTGCAGGTGTGTAAATATGTCAGGTGTGTAATGAGGTGGGGGTGGGGAGGGGGAAAGAAAGCAGAGACAGGCAAGGGAGGTAATTCTATATTATTAATGACATTTTCATCAGCAAGAAGATAATTAGTGATTTTCTTAAACGGCGCCACAAAGCTCAGCGTCGACGAAGGCACAAGGAAAGGATGCGCTCAGTTCCGGTGTAGACACAAAGGGAAGCAATCAAGTAGGACAAACTCAAAGGCTAAATTACCGGGTGTTGACATGGGGGGTAACTGTGGATTAAAGTTTTTGAAAATGTTGGATTGTTTGCTGGTGAAGTAGACTGCGGCGGTTTTGGGTTCTCTGCGTAAGACGGTGATTAGGGTTACAAGGCAATTAGGGTTATCTGGGAAGTTATGGTTACGTGAGGTAGAAGGATGGGTGTTTTTGTTCTGCAGGGTTGGAGGTGGGGGGGGGGGGGGGTAGATGAGGATATATTGAGTATAGAGGTTTCTGTGAAGTGGGAAATGGGGGCAGTAAGGGGCATTTAAGGATTATCTGATATATGAGTATTATAGGGCATATAGGCAATAAGAGATATATGGACAGTCTGGGGCATATGAATGTTATAGGGCATATAAGAAGTACAGTATCAGCAAAGATTTTAAAGATTTAGCTGCAATTAATTACTTCATTTTGGTTTTCAAAAGACAATATTTAAATACCTTTATTTATTTATTTATTTATTTTACTCGTTTAAAATACCTTTATATTCTACACAATTTACAGACTGTCGCAGTATTTAAATATTGAGTTTACAAAATATATAGATTCTATATAATTATATTTTTACCTTGCATTTAATTAGTAGTTTCCATTAGAATTTTGTTTCCATTTTAATCCATTTCAGAAAAACAAGAACGTTTTACACGAAGTTTTTAGTCTAATATTTCTTTTTTAAGATTTGAATATTAATTTCCTTCCGTTCACACAAAATCACTTATTCCATGAAAATATACGAGCTAAATTGTCCCCTGGAATCGCTTATTTCCCTTGGCGTATTGTTATCATCCTGAGCACGGTCGAACGGTGCGGCAAACGACACGTCTAGCACACGATATTGTGACTGGGCGTGATGCGCGGGGCGGTGAACGCTTGGCTAGGCGGAGTCCCGCGCCGTATCGTTATAAGCCCGCCACGCCATGCGTCACGATAAGCTAAAAATAGCCGGGGATATCCGCCACAAGGATAGGTCAAAAGCTGGTCTGTATGTAGGTCACGGATATGAATAGTTTCCCCTATGTTTACATTTTGTACTAAAAATATAGTACTATTTGGTGTATAGGGGTCGTCCAGAAATGACGTCATACTCGTAGAGGGGGGGGGGGGGGGGTTGTAATTTTGTGACGGTTATGGTGAGGGGGGAGGGGGTTCAGATGGCGTGACGTCACACTTTTGCATTATAAAATTTCAATGTTAGAAAACGAATTTTAGAATTTTAGCCGTTATTTCGCATTTTAGAAAACTGATTTAATAAACTGTAATAGAAATTGGATAAAATACTCCATGTAGACAGTTCAGACAAGATTTTGGAAAAAATATCGATGTTTTAAGAAAAATTCAACTACAATTTTGAGGGGGGGGGGGGAGGGAGGGGGGGGGGGGTTGTTGGCTGAGGTATGACGTCATTTTAGAGGGGAGGATCTGGCTTTTTGTGACGATTGTGACAGAGGGGAGAGGGGAGGTAAAAATTGTCAAAAAAAGAGTGTCTTGGATTACCTATTATTATATAGTTTTAAAAAATGTGATTATCTAATTTGATAGGTAAATTAATGGGATATGTACACAAAATACAACACAAATATGGTCGTGTTTGCCCACCACCTATAGAATGTTGTATAACTTTATTATAGAACATCATACTTTTGTTTAACAAATTCTAAAACAGATACCCAAGCTCTACACATACAACTTAGGGGTCATTCATAAACGACGTCACTCTATTTTCGACCATTTACCCACCCCCCCCCCCCTTTTTGTAATAATAAAGTCAGCCCCCTCGCTCCCCATAAAAATGACGTCACAAAGTCTACAACCACTCTCAAATTGCAGTTTTTGTGTTTTAAAACATCGATTTCTTTCTCAAATATTTACTGACTCCAGTCAACATTTAGTATATTAATCAATATATATTTTCAACTAACAAAAAAGTTTTTTTTACAACCGTGAAATAAAGTCATAAATTCAGTTTCTAATATTACTTTTTATTTTCATAACAGTAAAAAAAATAAATAAAAAATAAATAGAAACAACCATCTCGTACAGCGAATGAAAATATTTTTTATTTTTCAGGGTAGATAACTAAAACAAAACCAAATTTACTATAATTTGTATAGTTACTTCCCTGGATTAAACTTAGTAATTTTGTACTGTAATAGTGATAAAACGGATATTGTTAGTATACTCACAATTTTAACGACAATTTTAGGTACAGTTGACGTTTCGACCCAAAACCTTCTTCAGCACACAACAGTGTGGTTAAAGAACAGACACAATGACAAAACATTTCGGATATTAAAGCGATCATTTCTACACTGTGAATCTCGGTAAAACTCACAAGATACTTCTAACCCACAACACAGGCAAACACGCCCATGTCAAGTTAAAGGTGAGAAAAATACCTGTTTGTACTACATTAGGTAACGATGAAATTATTTACGGATATATTCCTTGAAAATAAAAGTATATATTAAAAGCTAAAAAAAATCTTAGAAATACTATACATTCAAACCTGCTATTATTTTTATAAAATATAATAATTTATCTGTTGCTTGCATATTAAAAATAAAATTTATCACGAAACATTGTTCTATTTCTGATTGTTCCTAGATTAAATTAAAATATGAATCCTCATTAATTAAAAGGCATTTCTTTTTTAATTGCAATGGCATTGTGTCATCCTTGTTACAGACGGTATGCAACTTTCTCTCTCGTACTTAGCTTGTATGGTTATCCTTTAACCGAGTGGGATATTTTGTTCTAAAATTATCGGTGCGCATTAGGACATTAGTGCTCAAAAATTTTCAGTGCGCACCGGCGCTTTCTGCTACAGGAAGTGGATGTGACGTCACGTGCTATATCTACTCCATCTTAGGTATATTGTTGTTAAACAAAAACAAAATGACAACAGGTAGCCCAGAACATCCGCCTTTTGTTGTCCCTCGCAAATGTTGACCAGTGGTTTAACTAAGGTACAAACACCAAGAAATGTTTACCTTGCCCTAGGGTAGTATGACGTCAGTCTAGTGGGCCATGGCGAAATGTCTATGTTTATGGAGCTCCTATCTCCATTTATCCCCACTACTGATTAGCAGCCAGACATGAAAGTAACGTAGGTGTGTTGTAAAATTTGAATGCAGTTACGTCATAAAGTAAGAATTAGAAAAAAAATCGAACCGTTTTTTTGACAACCATGGCTATGGCGTATAATGCCCTGGCTATCCCCAACAAAGATACCGCGTTGGTTCCGCACGACATGTCGGGGGTTCGAACCTCCAACCAGGATGAGTTCGTTCTGGAACAGGTTCTAGGGTTGACCAGTAACTCCTGCCACGCCCTGAGCTACAACCCTTCAACCGGGTTCGTGGGGTTCCCCGCCGCGTGTATACTCGTGCTCCTCGACACGAAGACCAACAAACAAAAGTTCATCGAGAGCCCGTCGCTGAGGTACATCTCCTGCGTGGCTTTCTCGGAAGACGGTCGCTTTCTGGCGTTTGGAGAACTCGGTCTTAAGCCGTACGTATCCGTCTGGCACGCTAAAGAACATAAAGAATATAACAAATTTATCATCGACCACTCCGTCGGGATCAAAGCCATCGCTTTTCATCCAAAATCCTCGTTTGTTGTCGTGTTAGGGACCAACGATTTAAACATAGGGGTGTGGGATTTCGTTCGGGGCAGACGTCTAGCCTTATCGAAATGGCAGACGGCGCCTTTAGCCTTGACCATCCCAAAACCCGGGTCGTATCTTGTCGTCTGCGGGCACAGAAAAGTGACGTTGTTCAACTTTGACAGCATCCAGTCCAACAGCTACGAGACGAACGTGTTCCAGGACAGGAAGGCGGTGCTGCTGGGGCGCCAGAGTGAGTACACGTTTGTCGACATCACGAGCGGGAAGGGCAAGCACGAGCGGGAGGTGTACACGGTGACCAACTGCGGGTTCCTGTGCGAGATCAAGATGGGGGACATTATCATCGACAAGGCGACGAAAGTCGACACGAAAGCCTACTGCGTCAGGTACAACCTGGAGCGCGTCTTCGTCGGCTGCTGCGAGGGGATAGTTAAAATCTGCAACCCCGACACGCTCAGCGTGGAGGCGGCGGTGTCCATTCGGGAACTTCTCGGGGCGGAGATGGTACCCAAGTTTGGGTCGAAACTTTACGCCGACACCACCGCCATGGCCATCAACGAGAAGGATTCCATCGTGACGTGTATATACGCCGACTGTAGTATGCATTCCTGGCAGATCAGCGGGTTCAAAGACTCTCTAGTCTGCACGGCGATCCGGCCGCAGTATCAATACAACCAAGGCGACGTCAGGTACGAGTCGACAATCGGCGATCAAATCTACAACAACTCCAAACTACGGTCTTTCCTCGGTTGCTGCGATAAAACAAAACGTCCCAAAATCGTCGAGCCTTCGGGGTTCGGGGATAAAGTCAAGGCAAGCAGCCATGGAATCAGGCATTTCTTTAAAAGCAGTAAAATAGCCCGGAACCTTCACATCAACGCCGTCAAGATCACCCCAGACGGGAAAGATGTCGTCTGCGGCAACCAAGACGGGGAAATCAAAGTCTACGACGCGTCGACGGGCGTGCTGCGGCGTGTGATTGAAGCTCACAGCTCCACCGTGACCTGCATAGAGCTCATGTACGACGAGGAGTATCAGCTCGTCTGCAGCGGTGGGCGGGACAGGATCATCTTCGTGCTCAACGCCAAGGAAGACTTTAGTTTAGTCCAAGTCCTGTGCGACCATTCGGCGGCCATCACGGCGCTCAGTCTTGTCCACAACGGCGGGCTTTTGACCATGGTTTCAGCGGCCGCGGATAACGTGATCCTCGTTCGGCGGGCGATACCGGGCAACAACCTCAAATTCACGATCACCGGGGAGATTGCCGAGGCGAGGTTCAACAAGTCGTTCAATATTAGCAGCGAGTACATCGTAACTGGGGCGGGCAATGGCGGCATCAAGGTGTGGAAGGCGGACCCGGTCTTCAGCGGGAAGCCCACCAAGACGATTCAATGCACGCAGAAATGTGGCGGAGGGAACCGGGCCATCGGTATTGATCCGTCCGGCAGTTTCCTGGCCATCACCCAAGCCCCTGGCCACATCACGGTGTACCATCTGCAGACTGGCCAGCCGGTGGCCTCGCTCAGCAGCCAGAGTGACGTCACGGCGGTCAAGTTCACGAGCGACTTGATGTACATAGTCAGCTCGACCTCAGACGGGTGCGCGCTGGTCTGGCGTCTCCCGGAGCGGATGACGGAGTTCATGAAACTCAAGGTCGAGAAGACGTACCAGATCGAGATGGCGCGGGAGATCTCGTACGAGACGTACGTCTCCTGTCTGCGCGTGTGTCAGGAGATGGACGACGAGAGCCCCAGCCAGACCGGGTACCTGACCGAGTCGTACCGCGAGGTCGGCATGACCCCCAGCATCGAGTCGATGAACCTGCTCCAACTGGGCTCCGGCTACCCCAACCATAACGAGCACGAGAGCCTGTGCGGCACCGAGAGCTACCTGAGCTGTAGCACCTGCCAGGGCTCCTGCTCCGACACGGCTTACTACTACCCCAGCACCGACTCCAGCCTGCACATGCAGTCGGCGCCATTCCACTTCCACGACGCCACCAAGAAGATAATAGAAGAGAGTAAATGTACGCGTCTGGGCATGTTTAAGTACACCACCAACGATGACAGCGACCAGCCGCCGATGTTAAATTGTAAAAACGACTCGGCTATTTCTGCGGAGCTACAGGAGAACACGCAGATCGAGTCACTGGACAAACCCACTTTATTAAACCACTCCAAAAACCACCGGGAAGTGACCAACAGCAGAGAAAGCGAAGGCCGGAGCTTCGACACGCTGACCCACATTACAGATCTACTCGACCCACTTCTGTCTCACATTGACGGCGCCCCAGACCGGTTTAACAAACTGAAAGACCACCAGCCGGTTCCCAAATCGGATGCTTCACCGGTGCGGGTGTCCTTCGGCAGCCCGGAAGCTGTTCTGAACATGTTCTCGTACTCATCCGCCTTCTCTGAAGGGACCTACAGCACAGCCAACTCCATGTTTACTATGCTGAGCAGTGAAACCTCACCGGTCAGGGAGAGCAGGTACTTCTACAGTCCTGTTCAGGAGTCAAGTGTAGAAGTTTCGCCACCTCACACCACCAAGTACAACACCTACACTATTGGCGAGTCGCCAGAAAAATCCGCACAAAACGAGCAGACGTTTCTGACTCCAAATCCAATAGACAGTGTTCCAACAAAACTTCACGAAGACGAGAAGAAAAACCAGGAACCCGTAGAGGACGAAACATCGTGTAATTTTAGAAGCATACAACAAGCATACGAGAGTGAGCTCAAATGTCTAGATGATGATAAATCAGACATGAGTATCAAGGTCGACTCTCAGCAGTTTGAAGGTCAACCGCCAAATGATACTGCAGAGGTTAAACTGTCGAGAAAAATCGAATCTTCAACAGGGGAAAAGAAGCAAGCGCAGACTAACTGTATTAAGTTAGGCGTTAAAGAAGCCGGTACAAATGAACATTTGAAACATGAATCCCATTTGAACAAAGAAACAAAAGAACTGCTACACCCAGCTGCGAAATCATCTAATGAAGGAGGGCAGTACTTGAATAGCAGCGACAACAAAACAGAGTTAGGAAAACAGAATAAGTTAAGGCCTGCGATTCTAGTACCGGATGGAGCAAATCAAACTGCAGATAGTCTAAAGAACGACGCCTATTCACAAAAGAGTAAACTATTTAAAGACGCCAACTCAGTTTTTGGATATGATTACGTCAAACGTGACGAGGAGGGGAGAGCGAGGTGGGGGAATACCGCGAAAGACAAGAACTCCTCCCCCAAGGGTCAGACCTCACCCAGGAGGATGACGTCCGAGACAGACCACTGCCACGAAGCCGAGTTCGACAGCAAGAACCACCACTGGACCATCACCTGCTCGAGGTGCTCCAGCCGGGCTAGCCACACCAGCACCTCGGGGAGGTCGTCGATGTCGCAGGACGTGCAGGTGTCCGAGACTTGGGACAGCTGTAAACAGCGTCTGATTGGCCGAGCCGAGGAGGTGGACAAGGACCCGTCACCTCGCCGGGGTCAAGGGTCAAACGTCGCGGAGAAGAAGCGAATGCTGCTGGGGTTGAAAGAGGAGAAGGTGGAAACCGAAGACGAGAAGTTGAAAGTGTACTACAGCGAGCTGAGGCAGTGCCTGAGGCTATCCAACTCCCAGGAGACGTTCTACCGGCTGAAGTGGGACGCCAACGACCAGGAGTTAATGGAACTTTTAGCGGAAGCCTTGGAGAGCAGGCCTACCCAGGTTGCAGAGTGGTTCGATTACCAGAAGGAGGCATGCGAGAACGAGGCTCGTGTTCAGCCCGGGGCGTCGCCCGTTGAAACGACGCCGGAGAAAAAAATTATTCCGACGTCGGAAATCAAAACAGAGCTTTTGGAGAAGGTGAAAAATCAGGGAGAGGTAAAAAATACCGTTAATTTTAAAGAGACTTCGTCGTGTAGTAGCCCCGACGTCAGTGAAGACAGCCCGAAGGACATTTTAGCCATCGTCCAGCGCATCCTAGCCGCACGGAAGACCGACATGGACAAAATGTCGAAAAACAACAGCGAACAAGGCGCCACGGAACCTGCGACGAAAGTCACGAAAAAATACGGAACTAGAATCTCCTCCAGCAGAAAGGAAGAGAATCAAAAATTCGTTCACAGCGAGGATAACTCTGAACCGACTAGTTCCAGTGCCTACGACGTCCCAACTTCCCCAGATAAATCCTTCACACGGAAATATTTAGAGTCCCGGATGAACAACAGAACGGCGGTGGCAAACGATCCGAGCGACGCCGTACAGGAGGCAGAGCGGAGAAAACCCGCCCCCTCCGTGGCTGAGCCCGAGAAACCCGCTGAGTTCTTGAGCTCAGCCTCGTCCAGTTCCAAGGATAGCAAGAATCGGGCGCGTCCAATAGGTGTGCACGTGCCGGAACCTGCAGGTGAGTTACCTTTGTGTTTACCTTAGGGTGGAGGTGAGTTACCTTTGTGTTTACCTTAGGGTGGAGGTGAGTTACCTTTGTGTGTTTACCTTAGGGTGGAGGTGAGTTACCTTTGTGTGTTTACCTTAGGGTGGAGGTGAATTACCTTTGTGTTTACCTTAAGGTGGAGGTGAGTTACCTTTGTGTGTTTACCTTAGAGGGAGACGAGTTACCTTTGTGTTTACCTTAAGGTGGAGGTGAGTTACCTTTTTGTTTACCTTAAGGTGGAGGTGAGTTACCTTTGTGTTTACCTTAAGGTGGAGGTGAGTTACCTTTGTGTTTACCTTAAGGTGGAGGTTAGTTACCTTTGTGTGTTTACCTTAAGGTGAAGGTGACTTACCTGTTTGTGTTTACCTTTGGGTGGAGTTGAGTTACCTATGTGTTTATCTTTGGGTGGTGTTGAATTACCTATGTATGTTTACCTAAAATGGTGGTGAGTTACCTATGTATGTTTACCTAAGTGTGCACGAGACGTGCTATTGTATTTTACATCTAGAGGTTTACATTGGGTGGAAGGTGAGTTACCTTGTGGTTTTACTATAAGGTAAAGATGAATTAAATGAATTTTTACCTAATGTGACGATGAGTTACCTATGTGTGATTACCTCAGGTCAAGGTAAGTTACTGTGTGTGTATAAATCAGGTGGAGGTAAGTTACCTATGTTGTTTCACCTTAGGGTATAAGTGAATTATCTGCGTGCTTTATCATGTGAGTTACCTGTGTGGATTTACATGTGAGTTACCTGTGTGGATTTTCTACCTCAGGATTTGGAATAACAATAATGTTGTGGTCTGTTCTGGTGGGTGAGGGAGGGTGGACAAACTGGGCAAGCTTTTATTGTATTGGGGTGGGGGTGGGGGACGATGGGCAAGCTGGTACACCACGTATGGTATTGGTGTGTGTGGGTGTGTGTGTGTGTGTGTGTGTGTGCAAATATGGCCAACCATATTGAGTGGGAAGATGCGTAATCTGGCCAATCATATGTTGTATGGGCTATTTGGCAATATATATTTTGTTTTTGTTTTTAGGAAACTAAACACTCGAAAAACAAATACGAACATTTAGTACACATAAGAACCGAACATGTAGGTATAACGACACATAAGAACCGAACATGTAGGTATGACGACACATAGAACCGAAATGTTTAATAACTACATATATAAGGGCGACCACTCCATAAGACACGACTTTTGAAAAAAAAAAAAAAAACCCAATATATCCGTTAACTGAACTCATATTCTCACACCGACCCTCTTTGCCCCCCCCCCCCCTCCCCTTCTAGCCGCACCCCCCAAGCCCTCCCAGGAGCCTCCTCTTGAAGCAAGTTCTTGCCAGGACCGGAAGTACACCACGCCCGCCATAGCGGAACTCTTCCGTGACCAGGACGACTATCTCCGGAAGTTGAAGGAGGTGCGGGAAAAATTTGAGGAGAGTATTCAAGCCTTGAGTAACGAGAGAAAATTCCGCAAGTCCAATCAAGATGGCGGCTTCGCAAGTAAACCGTAAAAATGTATGAATTGTCTGTAGGGAACAAATAGCGAATTTATTTTTACACACAAAAAAAGGGAATAAAGTTTAATTGGTGCTATTTAATATGTGTATTTGATAAGGCAGTGATGATTTAGGGAGTGGTGAAATTGAAATTTAAGAATAAGTTGTGTAAGAGCCAAATGTGTATTAAAAAAACCGAGTGTGTTGTGAAAATATTCATATTGTGACAACAGAAGGAAAAATGTTGTAGTCAAGGGAGACAACTTTTATAAACTAGGGTTAAAAAAATTATTTAATGATTACCTCCCTGGAGATGTATCAAATGGGCACCAATTCATGTGAATGCTACCTGTGTTTGTCCCTTGAGTTTTACTTTAGTTTTAACAATGTTAAAACATTTAATGAATCAATCAATGAATAAAATCAATGAAATGTACGCGAACTGTTATTCTCATTTTACATTCAACAGAACTTTGAAAATATATTAAAAAACCCAACATATTGTGTGACATTTCAGCCATTCTATTTCATACTATTTACCTCATTCACTCTTCTCTCCATGAGGTCTGTGCCAGTTGTCATCCTATGATGGTAGGTGACATCCTCTATAGAATGTCAATGTCATACATGTCATCTTCTAAATTCTCCGTTAAAGACCTTAGACCTGACCCAAACTGGATATTGTCAAATGTAAAATATTCACGGACAGTTGGTGTAGGACAGAGGCGTAGCGACCCTTCCCGTCGCCCGGGGACAAACTTTCGATTTGCACCCCCCCCTCAAACTTTTGATTTGCACTCCCCCCCACCCTCAAACTTCCGATTTGCACCCCCCCCCCCCCTCAAACTTTTGATTTGCACTCCCCCACCCTCAAACTTTTGATTTGCACCCCCCTCAAACTTTCGATTTGCGCCCCCCCCCCCCTCGAACTTTTCATTTGCACTGCACCCCCCCCCCCTCAGTCTTCAATTTGTTTTCCCAACCCATTTTGGCGCCCGGGGACATATGTCCCCCCCCCCCCCCCGTTCCCCCGCTACGCTTCTGGTGTAGGAACATGGAGAATATTACATGTTGGTGGTGGGGGTGGGTGGGTGGGTGGGGGGGGGGGGGGGTTTGAATAAATCCATTAATTACAATACATACAACTTCTTAAGTAACAAACTTTTAGATTGCACTTAACAGAACAGCAACATAATACTCAAATTAAGATTTTACACGCGGCACAAGATTTAATGCATTTTGAAATAATGTTTATCCTGTAGAGCAGGGTAGGCTTTTTGGTCTGTGTTGTATCCTATACAGCTTAATAGCTCTGATTTGGGCGGACTAAAATCTCTTACGGGGGAGGGGGGGGGGGGGCGGACAATGTTAAAAGTATATATTTTCTATATAAATTCAATTTCGTTTGTGGGGGGAAGGGGGGGGGGGGCGGAGCATCTTCCCCCCCCCCTCCCCCCCCCCCCCCCCTCCAGGAGTTGCCTGGAGGAAACTTTGATCTTGACCACAGCAATCAAACATTGCCTACATGACGTCATCTAGTCTAGAGATCGCCACCACTTTGGTAGTGTAGGGATCTATAATTATCTAGTCTAGAGATAGCCACTACTTTGGTAGTGCAGGGATCTATAATTATCTAGTCTAGAGGTCGCCACTACTTTGGTAGTGTAGGGATCTACAATTATCTAGTCTAGAGATCGACACTACTTTGGTAGTGTAGGGATCTATAATTATCTAGTCTAGAGATCGACACTACTTTGGTAGTGTAGGGATCTATAATTATCTAGTCTAGAGATCGACACTACTTTGGTAGTGTAGGGATCTATAATTATCTAGTCTAGAGGTCGCCACTACTTTGGTAGTGTAGGGATCTATAATTATCTAGTCTAGAGATCGCCACTACTTTGGTAGTGTAGGGATCTATAATTATCTAGTCTAGAGATCGCCATTATCTAGGTAGTAAAAAAGAATCATCTTTATACCTAGCGATCTATTCGTCAGATGAAGCAGAATTTATGTTTTTTTTATCTCGGCATATGAAAGGAATTTGTGGTCAGCACTTTGCCCAGCCGTCTTTACTTTCCCTAACACGAGTTAAATACCCTTCAGAGCTGGGTGGACTCAGAGACGTTCTACTGACTAATTCGAACTCGAGACTTTCGAATAGCAGCCTAGCGCTCTAACCTAGGTAGTAGTTGGATCTATAACTCTCTAGCCTAGAGGTCGCCACTACCTAGGAGGTAGAGGAGTCTATAATTATCTAGTCTAGAGGTCGCCACCACATAGGAAGTAGATGGATATATAACTCTCTAGCCCAGAGGTCGCCACTACCTAGGAAGTAGAGGAGTCTATAATTATCTAGCCTAGAGGTAGATACTACCTAGAAAGTAGATGAGTCTATAACTATCTAGCCTAGAGGTCGCCACTACATAGTTAGACGATGGATCTATATAATTACCCAGCGTGTAGAACGAACACATCATGTACACCTACCTACACAGCCCTGCAGTAATCGACTTGGCCGGGCTTATATCTTTGAACCTTAAACAAAGCACCGATTACTCTCAGTTTAAATAACAGCGCTAGAATAACCTGTTATCGATAGCAGTAAAATTACAAGCTGGGTATACTATCGAGAATAGGGCTGGAGTAAACGTATACTAAAACAATGAATAGTCCAGAGGCGTAGCGACTTTTCCCGGCGCCCGGGGAAAAACTTTCGATTTGTACCCCCCCCCCCCCCTCGAACTTTTGATTTGCACCCCCTCCCCTCAAACTTTCAATTTGTGTCTCCAACCCATTTTGGCGCCCCCATAAGGTCGGCGCCCGGGGACATATGTCCCCCGCCCCCCCCCCCCCCCTTCCTCGCTACGCCTCTGGAATAATCTCACAAAAGTAAAACTAAAAACGGAAAGGTTCGACAACAGGTCTTCGCTAGAAAAAGACACGACTAATTAAAGAATGAAACATTGAATCGTATGATGTACATTGATTACGCTATTACCTGGTAGCTGAGAGCAGAGGCGTAGCAAGGGGGGGGGGGGGCAGGAGGTGCGGACCGCACCGGGTGACACCATTTAGTGGGGTGACACCAAGGCAAAAAATAGCAAAATATATAGAGGAAAACTTGAGGGGGGGGGGGTGCAAATCGAAAACTTGAGAGGGGGGTGCAAATCGAAAGTTTGAGGGGGGGGGGGGGTGGCAAATCGAAAACTTGAGGGGGGTGCAAATCGAAAGTTTGAGGGGAGGGGGTGCAAATCAAAAATTTGAAAGTTTGTCCCCGGGAATGGGTCGCTACGCCTCTGGGGGGTGACACCATTAAGTGGCGCACTGGGTGACACCCGACCTCGCTACGCCACTGGCTGAGAGTTAGTTGTTTCTGTGGGCCTGTTAGGTTGAAAAGAAAATGCTATGTCTAACGGCCTAGAGAACTACTTGAAAACGTTTACACCATTATTTACACACACAAAATTTCGTTTCTTGTAGTACTGAAAAAAAAACGAGATACGATACATCACGCTTTTAATTAAATTTTGATCCGTTTATACTTTTTATCACCAAATGTATGTCGAATAGACTTTTAGCTATATTATGTACTTGTATTTTGTTGTGAGTGTTGAAACAGAAGATAAGGAAGAATTACGTCCCTTCTACCGGCGGGTTCAAAGGTCGGAGTACTATTGAAAGAGAAGAATCGTACTATTAGAGAAGCGAAATTTTCACTGGAAATGTAACACTAACTAAAATATGTCATTATATTGTGAATAAGTAAAACTTACATACTATTAAAAACTATACCTTTTAATTTATTACGTAATATATATTTTATACATTTTGTTACGTAGCATATATTTTATACAATTTATTTCCATAAAAAGGGCAGAGGCGTAGCGGGTGGGGGGGAACATATGTCCCAGGGCGCCGACCTTAGGGGGGGCGCCAAATTGAAAATTTGAGGGGGGATGCAAATGAAAAGTTCGAAGGGGGGGGTACAAATTGAAAGCTTGTCCCCGGGCGCCGGGAAGGGTCGCTACGCCTCTGAAAAAGGGTGTTAACGAACAAGAATTATTATTAAACTTGTATTTTAGTTAGTTGCATTAAAAATCTGAGTGTTTGTAAGAAAAACGGATTTAATGAAAGAATAAGAGGGTTGATCAAAAAGTAAATAATTTTCCAAAACAACTCACTTAATCTGTAAATAATACGTCACTTCTTATTTTATCTATACCCCGGACACCGGAGAATTATATCACGTCGATAATTTTTTTTTTTTTAAATTGTAAAATTTCTAAATGTACGTGCCGATTGCCGGGGCTAAAATGAATTCAGCGAAGACCTCGCCTAGCCCGCCTCGTTGACAAGGGCATTCACTAGGCTTCCACGCTGGTCAATGCAGGAGTGATTTCCCTTGAATATTCGCACCGCGGTCGCGTTGAGTCAGGGATAATGCTGCGAATTACCCCCATTTTTCCTGATGAGCGTGGCTGATACGAGCGCCAACCTGGCCAACAGAAGCCCTCAAAACCTGGCAATGTCGGGTGCTGAGATCTCGCCCCTTGTGAGATTTCGTTAAGTAAATCTCGCCCGCGTTGGGGTGCGACTGAGCGAGTTTGTAAACCCGTGTTTGGTGTTGACTTTCCGTGCAGGATACGTGCAAGCGTGGAATAAATCAGGGGTTCTAATTCTGGAGGGGTTCGCGTACCCCGTGTAGTGCAGGGACGTGTACTACATGTCAGGGGTGTTATTAGGGACCAGGAGCGTACCAAACCAGCCTCCGACCCCAAGTACAACTCTAGGTACGGACCCTGAAACAACAACATAGCCCCGAACTTCGTTGATTGTTTTTTAAATTTTGTAACATTTTGATACGTTGTATTGGAAAACTTAGTCGCTGTTACGGGTCAGTTGTATGTTAGATAGAAATAGGTTAGAATAATCTAGAATTAGGAGAGAGTGCGTGTGTGAGTTTAGTTTACCCTAGAGTATTGTTATCCCTGGTGTGCAGTGTTCCCTCTAAGCTGCGCGGCTGCGCGGCCGCGCAGCACTTTCAAATGTGCCGCGCAGACATTTTCTGATGCCGCGCACAGATTATCAGAACGTCGGGCAAGCCTGATTCACTAAAAAAAATGAATTAAGCGACATTTTTAGTACCTGTTTTGTTAAACGAACAGTCTTTGTGTTTTGAGGCCTGGACCAAACTGATACTTAAAGCTTGTGACCCCTGGGGGAGGGGGTGACCTCGGTTGTCATACCACAGGTCTAGTTAATGACTTAACTCTCAACTGAGCGGGGCGGGTACCGATGTGATGTCTGGGTGACACTCCCTCTGCTTGATTTAATGGTTTACCCCAAAACTGACCGTAAAAGGGATTGTGGCTAGTAGCTGACTATGCAAGGTTTTATTTTCTATTGTCACTGCCCTCCCCCATC